GACGACCGGGATGTGTCCCTGACGACCGTGATGTGTCCCTGACGACCGGGATGTGTCCCTGACGACCGTGATGTGTCCCTGACGACCGTGATGTGTCCCTGGTGACCGTGATGTGTCCCTGGTGACCGGGATGTGTCCCTGACGACCGTGATGTGTCCCTGGTGACCGGGATGTGTCCCTGACGACCGTGATGTGTCCCTGGTGACCGGGATAGTAGTGGAAATGGCCCCAAGTTGCTTTCCCTGAGGGACACGACTTGGTGCAGGGGATTTTCGCCACCTCAGCGAAGCTTCCAAGTTCATTCTGATATTTATATGTATAGTGTCCGGCCAAGGAACGTTTATTGAGCATAGGGAAATAAAGTGAAAATCCACGTCTCCCATTCGTATGAAACAGACCCCCGGACATGGAGACTTCAACAGGAATTCAGTAGTATTCCCAAGTGCATGTTATTGTATAATTTTTCAAAACGGGCTACACCAACACTCATTTTAATTTAATTCATCGCTCACTGTTAGTCGTGTGCACGTCTCACATTCCCTCAAAACCTCCTCCCCCAACACCTCACTATAACATATACCAAATCAAAATACTTATTCAATGTACATAAATATGAACTATGTTGAGTAGAAGCTGCTTCGCATGTTTTGAAATACGTCTTCTGCAGTTACCTTCATTCTGATGTTCTCATCCCCAGTGCGGTTTGATCCACCAATAGGATTAAGAGTCCTGTGCGCTGTCCACTCAGCTACCAGTGTCGGAATATCCAACACCATTTACTAATATTAAATACAATATGCAGATAATATTGCTGCTGTTGTATATATATAAATTCACTCATAGAAGACGTGGCGCAGTTGAATTTTCCGTCAATAGAAAACGAAGTATCATTGCCACATAGCGCTATTGTTAATACAGTAGTCTTTGGACTTATAATATCATAAAAAATCTCATTTGAATTAACATAATTATCAGTATCAAAATAAAGTAAATGTGACCCTTCTATCACTCTGACATCTGGACAAGGAGAGCCAGGCGTCAGTGGTGAGGGAGGTCAGCCAGTGTTTAACACCATAGTGGCTGGAGCAAACTCAGCTCCTGTAATTCTCCTGTGGACGAAATGTTATGGAGATCAAATTAATCCTTCTACCATCATCAACACGCAGTCAACATCTAAACAAGGGAAGTATCATACCGAAACCCGTTTATCTAATCATTTCTGGCCAGTTAATGTTAAGAATACATAGGGCGAACCAGTTAGGACTCTAGACAAGCCACTAAACCCAGGTAATTAATCCTTGGTCCTTATCTAATAACGTAACAGTGTTTTCTCTGATATAGCTGTCATATATTAGGATTCCGCCTTTATAGCTAGTGCCCTTTGACAGGAACAAGAAGAGGAAGCAAGAATTAATCTTGGTACATCAGTTACTATGGGTGATGGAAGCTAGCCTCTCACGAGGATTATTTGGTGTCTACATCCCAGGTCTACCTGGTGGACTAGACCTACCATACAATAAGATAAGGCACCTCAAATTATTTACTGATATATATAGTTTAATACTGTAGTTTGATTGGCTGCATATATATACATTTAATATAACCTCCCTAATGTGTAACAATCGATTTGTGAGAATATTGCAGAAATACAGTCCGCACAAACATCATACAAATTGCTATCAAAAATATAAATTCATATAAATTAAATAAATATAAATCTCACGAGTCGATTCCCACAACCAGACCCCAAGTGTGTACTCACCTAGTTGTGCTTGCGGGGGTTGAGCTCTGCTCTTTCGGCCCGCCTCTCAACTGTCAGTCAACTGTTACTAACTACTATTTTTTTTCACGCACACACCCCAGGAAGCAGCTCGTAGAAGCTGTCCAACTCCCAGGTACCTATTTACTGCTAGGTAACAGGGACATCAGGATGAAGGAAAATTTGCCCATTTGTTTTTCCGCCGGCTGCCGGGATCGAACCCGGGTCCCTAGGTCCACGAGTGTTGATCAACACTCGCTGTCCACTCAACCAGCCAACCAACCAACCAGATTGTGTGTACTCACCTATTTGTGCTTGTGGGGGTTGAACTTTATCTCTTTGGTCCCGCCTCTCAACTGTCAATCAACTAGTGTACAGATTCCTGAGCCTATTGGGCTCTATCATATCTACATTTAAAAGTGTGTATGGAGTCAGCCTCCACCACATCACTGCCTAATGCATTCCATCTGTTAACTACTCTGAAACTGAAAAAGTTCTTTCTAACGTCTCTGTGGCTCATTTGGGTACTCAGTTTCCACCCGTGATCCCTTGTTCGTGTCCCACCTGTGCTGAAGAGTTTGTCTTTGTCCACCCTGTCAATTCCCCTGAGAATTTTGTAGGTGGTTATCATGTCTCCCCTTTACTCTTCTGTCTTCCAGGGACGTGAGGTTCAGCTCCTTTAACCTTTCCTCGTAGCTCATACCTCTCAGTTCTGGAACGTGTCTGGTGGCATACCGCTGACTCTTCTGTAACTTTGTCTTGTGTTTAAAGTGTGTGTGTATCTGATCTGTGGAATACAAGTAAAATTTGTAAGGAAAGTGCTTTCTCTCCTCAGCCAGCAGCAATATCCTCATTAATCACACACACACACACACACACACACACACACACACACACACACACACACACACACACACACACACACACACACACACACACACACACACACGTGGGAGCGCCAACAATGTATGCCAATAAGCAAGACTGGAGGGAGATAATGAGTGCACCACAAGCCAGTGACAATAAGAAGCGTGTGGTGTAAGGTACTAGAGACTACCGCTCCCAGCAACACTAACTCAACACTAACAACAAATCCATTTCGTCTCCAAACACCATCGTGGATTTAGCGAGAAGAAAATCCTACTTGACAAATGTGTGAGGTTTCTGCAACAAGATGAGAGAGAGAGAGAGAGAGAGAGAGAGAGAAGGAATTATCAAGCGAAAGCTCCAAGCCATTACGACTATATAGCACTTGGAAGGGGGGTCAGGATAAGGTTTTGGGAAGGTAGGGGGGGGGGGATAGAATGGTGTCCAACCACTTGGGCGGTCGGGGATTGAACGCCGACCTGCATGAAGCGAGACCGTCGCTCTACCGTCCATCCCAAGTGGTTGGGCGCAGAGAGAGAGAGAGAGAGAGAGAGGACCGGACTGGAAGTGAAAAATGAACACTAACAAATGGCTGCTAGAATTTATTCCAGCTAAATGCAAAATTATGAGGCTATGAATAGGGTTCCAAAGACCAGGCCAGCAGTAAAGGATCAGGCAGACAGATAATAGCATCAGAAAAGGAGAAAGTTCTGAGCGGAGACCAAGTTTTGAGTATGCAGCCCCGGCATGGAACCTTCACCTGAGGGGCTTGAGCTAAGATGAAAGGCTGAGGGAACAGAACCTCACCACGCTGAAGGATAGGAGGAATAGTAGTAGTAGTAGGCATCCATCAGTCTCAGGAGACTATGGAGTTGCGCTCTGGTTGTCGGTCTGGAGTGGCCTCACCAGGGCGCAAAGCCAGGGTAGGTTGATTTGGGGGAGAAGCTGTTACCCATGCAGCGGGACATAATAACGACCTACAAGATTTTTAGGGGAATTGACAGTTGTCGTTCATAGCTAGTAACACCAGAGCGAGGTGACATTGAGGACAACTGGAGGTACAGCTGAGGTACAGCTGAGGTACAGCTGAGGTACAGCTGAGGTACAGCTGAGGTACAGCTGAGGTACAGCTGAGGTACAGCTGAGGTACAGCTGAGGTACAACTGAGACAAAGATCTTCAGTGTTATTGTTAATAAGTACAATGAGTTAGACGAAAGAGTTGTGGAAATTAATTCAACACAAAACTGATAAAAGGTGGAAACTCAGTCATCCCATTAAACTAAAAATGATGGGGGCCAGGAGCTGAGCCCGACCCTGCAAGCACATCTAGGTCAGCAATTACATACACAAACTATTTAGAAGAACTGACAGGATGGTAACAGGAAATATTCATCAATTAATTCAAAGAGTGGATGGAGGCCAAGACCGTCAGTAATTTCTAAGTGTTATATGACAAAGAGTGCTGGGAAGACGGGACACCACCAGCGTAGCTCTCATCCTGTAACTACACTTAGGTAATTACACACACACACACACACACACACACACACACACACACACACACACACACACACACACACACACACACACACACACACACACACACACACACACACTCAGATACTCAGAGGGATTGACAGAGTGGACATAGACGAAATGTTCACACGGAATGTTAACAGAACGAGGGGACATGGATGGAAGCTTGAAACTCAGATGAGTCACAGAGATGTTAGGAAGTTTTCTTTTAGCATGAGAGTAGTGGGAAAATGGAATGCTCTTCAGGAACAGGTTGTGGAAGCAAATACTATTCATAATTTTAAAACTAGGTATGATAGGGAAATAGGACCGTAGTCATTGCTGTAAACAACCGATGCTCGAAAGGCGGGATCCAAGAGTCAATGCTCGATCCTGCAGACACAACTAGGTGAGTACAACTAGGTGAGTACACACACACACACAAAGTGGTGTTATGATCGCCACTTACAAAATACTAACAGGAATCGACCAAATTGACAAAGGGGAATTCCTGAAACCAGCAACATCACGAACAAGAGGACAGACTCAAGTTAAGAAAACAAAGGAGCCGAAAAAATATTAGAACGTTTTCTTTTGCAAACAGAATGGTTGACGGTTGGAAGAAGCTAAGTGAGGTGGTGGAGATCAACAGTCAGTAGTTTCAAAGTGTTATACGACAAAGAGTACTGGGAAGACGGGACACCACGAGCGTAGCTCTCATCCTGTAGCTACACTTAGGTTTCCTGGCACAATGCTGCGAGCACATTCCTGGTAACATTTTGGTGAAAGAACAAGCAGTGAACATTAAATAGGAAGAGGCACACGCACTAAACACACATCATAGACATTAAAACTTACCAAAAGGAGGACATAACTTCACTTTACATTCCTGGGACGTCGATAGTGGTTGAAGTTGGCTGGCTGGCTAGCCTGCCCGCACGCTCACACGCTCACACGCCCGCACGCCCACACTATACCCCACAGAGCGGTGTGTTATTCCTCGACACCACAGTTTCTCACCAACACTTTACTCCACCACCACCAACACCGCCATTCTTGTCTCCAACACCATTACAGTCTTCACCACCACCTTCAGTCTTCAGTAATTTCCTCCAGGGAGCAGCAGGAACCTGTGGATACCTGCTGAAGGAGTCAGGTCCGGCGGGGCGCGACCTGAAAGTGGTCCCTTAGTTGCCAAGCTTCAGCCGTGTCTCGCTTCAGAGTCTCGAGGCTGTCCTGGTAAACCAGGAGGTCGGCGAGTTGAGAGCGAGCCAGGAGCGGGCTCTAGGATCTCCCCGTGGCATGAGAGGGGACGGTGGGTGCGTCCTGAGGGTATCCTGAAGGAGGCGCAGGTGTGTGTGTGTGTGTGGAGAGACGGTATGTTCCCGACGGCGCTGCCCACACTGGCACGGAGCCCACCTACTGTACCCGGGGCGGGCCTCGTGTGGCACCCGCCCCGGGTATTTCTGGCCCTCTATACTGCCCACCACGGCCCATGATGCCCACCTGGGGCCCCTCAGCTGCCCACCCTGGGGCCTCCAGCTGCCCACCCTGCGGGCCCCAATACGGCCCTCAACAACACGGACCACGGGGCCCTCTGCTCGCCATGGGGGCGTCTACAGTGGCCACTACAGGTTTTTCTACGAGAAGACACAGGCGGATGCTTGAACAAATGAATCAGAGCGAAATGCGGAAATACTCTGGTACAATCCGAGAGGCAAGAAGTGGACCGTGGGACGGAGGTGGCCTTCAACCCGCACTCTGAAGAACAAGTAGCACAACATCGACAGATTTTCCCGGATTTCAACGCGCTCTCGTGTTTGGCGGTAAAATATCTCCCGGCAGCCTAGGTTGGGGGAAGGGAAGGGAATTGTCGGGAAAGCGCCAAGCCATGACGACTATATAGCACTGGGAAGGGATCAGGATAAAGATTTGGGATGGGACGGGGAGGGAAGGAATGGTGTCCAACCACTTGGACGGTCGGGGATTGAACGCCGACCTCATGAAGCGAGACAGTCGCTCTACCGTCCAGCCCAAGTGGTTGGATAGTCTAGGTTGGGACTGTCTTGACAAAGGCAGAAATGTAGACAAACACGCCCGCCTTGGGGCTCTCGAACCCCACTACTCACTATCACACAACGTCCAGAGATACGAAAGCATCAGCTATCAGTAGCAAGAAGGCGGGGTCCAAGAGCCAGATTTCGGTCTACATAGACACTGATATGTAAATACTGATGGCTTACACATGTAAGCAACATCTGCTTAAGCTGGCGAGCAACAGAGCTTTCAGGAATGTAAATAAGAATGTTTTAGTACACACATCAGCAGAATACCGAGGGCAGTATATGCCATACTGGCGAACGTTAGGCTATCCTTCAGGAATACCGAGGGCAGTATATGCCATACTGGCGAACGTTAGGCTAGCCTTCAGGAATACCGAGGGCAGTATATGCCATACTGGCGAACGTTAGGCTAGCCTTCAGGAATACCGAGGGCAGTATATGCCATACTGGCGAACGTTAGGCTATCCTTCAGGAATACCGAGGGCAGTATATGCCATACTGGCGAACGTTAGGCTAGCCTTCAGGAATACCGAGGGCAGTATATGCCATACTGGCGAACGTTAGGCTATCCTTCAGGAATACCGAGGGCAGTATATGCCATACTGGCGAACGTTAGGCTAGCCTTCAGGAATACCGAGGGCAGTATATGCCATACTGGCGAACGTTAGGCTATCCTTCAGGAATACCGAGGGCAGTATATGCCATACTGGCGAACGTTAGGCTATCCTTCAGGAATACCGAGGGCAGTATATGCCATACTGGCGAACGTTAGGCTATCCTTCAGGAATACCGAGGGCAGTATATGCCATACTGGCGAACGTTAGGCTATCCTTCAGGAATACCGAGGGCAGTATATGCCATACTGGCGAACGTTAGGCTATCCTTCAGGAATACCGAGGGCAGTATATGCCATACTGGCGAACGTTAGGCTATCCTTCAGGAATACCGAGGGCAGTATATGCCATACTGGCGAACGTTAGGCTATCCTTCAGGAATACCGAGGGCAGTATATGCCATACTGGCGAACGTTAGGCTATCCTTCAGGAATACCGAGGGCAGTATATGCCATACTGGCGAACGTTAGGCTATCCTTCAGGAATACCGAGGGCAGTATATGCCATACTGGCGAACGTTAGGCTATCCTTCAGGAATACCGAGGGCAGTATATGCCATACTGGCGAACGTTAGGCTATCCTTCAGGAATACCGAGGGCAGTATATGCCATACTGGCGAACGTTAGGCTATCCTTCAGGAATACCGAGGGCAGTATATGCCATACTGGCGAACGTTAGGCTATCCTTCAGGAATACCGAGGGCAGTATATGCCATACTGGCGAACGTTAGGCTATCCTTCAGGAATACCGAGGGCAGTATATGCCATACTGGCGAACGTTAGGCTATCCTTCAGGAATACCGAGGGCAGTATATGCCATACTGGCGAACGTTAGGCTATCCTTCAGGAATACCGAGGGCAGTATATGCCATACTGGCGAACGTTAGGCTATCCTTCAGGAATACCGAGGGCAGTATATGCCATACTGGCGAACGTTAGGCTATCCTTCAGGAATACCGAGGGCAGTATATGCCATACTGGCGAACGTTAGGCTATCCTTCAGGAATACCGAGGGCAGTATATGCCATACTGGCGAACGTTAGGCTATCCTTCAGGAATACCGAGGGCAGTATATGCCATACTGGCGAACGTTAGGCTATCCTTCAGGAATACCGAGGGCAGTATATGCCATACTGGCGAACGTTAGGCTATCCTTCAGGAATACCGAGGGCAGTATATGCCATACTGGCGAACGTTAGGCTATCCTTCAGGAATACCGAGGGCAGTATATGCCATACTGGCGAACGTTAGGCTATCCTTCAGGAATACCGAGGGCAGTATATGCCATACTGGCGAACGTTAGGCTATCCTTCAGGAATACCGAGGGCAGTATATGCCATACTGGCGAACGTTAGGCTATCCTTCAGGAATACCGAGGGCAGTATATGCCATACTGGCGAACGTTAGGCTATCCTTCAGGAATACCGAGGGCAGTATATGCCATACTGGCGAACGTTAGGCTATCCTTCAGGAATACCGAGGGCAGTATATGCCATACTGGCGAACGTTAGGCTATCCTTCAGGAATACCGAGGGCAGTATATGCCATACTGGCGAACGTTAGGCTATCCTTCAGGAATACCGAGGGCAGTATATGCCATACTGGCGAACGTTAGGCTATCCTTCAGGAATACCGAGGGCAGTATATGCCATACTGGCGAACGTTAGGCTATCCTTCAGGAATACCGAGGGCAGTATATGCCATACTGGCGAACGTTAGGCTATCCTTCAGGAATACCGAGGGCAGTATATGCCATACTGGCGAACGTTAGGCTATCCTTCAGGAATACCGAGGGCAGTATATGCCATACTGGCGAACGTTAGGCTATCCTTCAGGAATACCGAGGGCAGTATATGCCATACTGGCGAACGTTAGGCTATCCTTCAGGAATACCGAGGGCAGTATATGCCATACTGGCGAACGTTAGGCTATCCTTCAGGAATACCGAGGGCAGTATATGCCATACTGGCGAACGTTAGGCTATCCTTCAGGAATACCGAGGGCAGTATATGCCATACTGGCGAACGTTAGGCTATCCTTCAGGAATACCGAGGGCAGTATATGCCATACTGGCGAACGTTAGGCTATCCTTCAGGAATACCGAGGGCAGTATATGCCATACTGGCGAACGTTAGGCTATCCTTCAGGAATACCGAGGGCAGTATATGCCATACTGGCGAACGTTAGGCTATCCTTCAGGAATACCGAGGGCAGTATATGCCATACTGGCGAACGTTAGGCTATCCTTCAGGAATACCGAGGGCAGTATATGCCATACTGGCGAACGTTAGGCTATCCTTCAGGAATACCGAGGGCAGTATATGCCATACTGGCGAACGTTAGGCTATCCTTCAGGAATACCGAGGGCAGTATATGCCATACTGGCGAACGTTAGGCTATCCTTCAGGAATACCGAGGGCAGTATATGCCATACTGGCGAACGTTAGGCTAGCCTTCAGGAATACCGAGGGCAGTATATGCCATACTGGCGAACGTTAGGCTATCCTTCAGGAATACCGAGGGCAGTATATGCCATACTGGCGAACGTTAGGCTATCCTTCAGGAATACCGAGGGCAGTATATGCCATACTGGCGAACGTTAGGCTATCCTTCAGGAATTTGGACAAAGATTCCTTCCGAGCGCTGTATACATTCTTTGTGAGACTTATTACTGAGTATGCTGTCCAAACATAAGCAGTAAAGGTGCCTTAGGTACTGGAACCCGTACCTAAACAACCACAAAACAAAACTAATAAAGGTCCAAAAATACGAAACAAGGCTTGTTCTCGAGCTAAAGGGACTGAGATATGAAGAAAGACAGGAAACTGGACCTCACTTCACTGGAGGAATGAAACAATAAGAGAGATATGATAACGACGCTCAAGATACTAAGGCGGATTGACAAAGTAGATATAGAAGCAGTGTTCAAAGTGAGGATCAGCAGGAAAGGACATAATTGGAAACTGGAAGCACATGAGTCACAGGGGGGGGGGGAGGGGGTCTCAGAAATAACTTTCTCAGTGTGAGAGTTGTATATAAGTGGAACGGACCAGATGACGAAGTTACCGAAGCTAATTCGATACACAGTTTTAAATGCAATTTAAATACAAAAAATGTACATCACACACACACAGTGATGTGCTTACAAAGTTTATCTAGACTACAGATAACTTATCATGAAATTACTTGTGTAAAGGAGGAATGTATATATTTATCTCTTAGAATGTTCGGTAATATGTTAATTGTTTGTGATGTGTGTATGTATGTATTAACACGATGTACTGAACGGGGTGAGAATAGCTTGAGCTACCTCATCCCTTTGTGTGTATTTTACCTCAATAAACTTATTTCAATTTCAATTCAATATCATGAAATATTTCATAGACGTCCTTCATAGTTGGTGAGGAGTGTCTGGGGCCGCCCCAAGTGGCCGGCTTGCACCTCACACGAGAGGATGTATAGGAGGGGAGTAAAGCCCCGTCAGCTGTTATAATTTAATTATTACAATATGCTCTAGTTACCTTAGATATAAATTCTATCAATATCCAACTGCATCACTTGGCTTCCCTTGTCAATATCCTCTCGTGACCTGTGTGGTGCTCATCCATCACTCCTCCTCCACACATACAGCCCCACACACCCTCTTAGTCTTCAGTACCGTACTCATGCTCTCCAGACTCATCTCCACTCATCAGACCAGCTCGTTGTGCCCACGCTGGCTTGTCATGATGGCTCCCTCATCCACGACCTCTCTTCTTCCCGCCACCCTCACCGACCTCACTCACCGCCCTTTTTTT